GGTTGCCATCCATCCATCCATCCAATATCTTTTACCTGTGTATTCCATTTTGGGTCACGGGGGTCGCTGGTGCCCATGTCCGGCAGTCATTGTGCGAGGGACGGGGTACACCCTGGACAGGTCTCCAGTCCATCACAGGGACACATAGAGACAAATGAGACAAACAACCATTCACTCTCTCACTCACCTAGGGACAATTTAGAGTTACCAGTCAGTCTAACATGCATGTTTTTGGTCTGTGGGAGGAAACTGGAGTACCCAGAGAAAACCCACACATGCACGGAGAGAACATGCAAACTCCACCCAGAAAGGCCCCTGGACTGGGATTTGAACCAGGGACCTGCTTGCTGAGAGGCAGCAGCTCTACCAGTTGTGCCGCCGTGCTGCCTCTTTTGATTGAAATTTTATTTTAATTTGTAAAAAAAAAAAAAACATCTGTATGCCTCTTTTATGACTGTCCACTGTTGTCATCATTCTTTGTTAAAATCAGGTCTCTCTTGTAAATGAGTCCCTGAGGCTCAATGAGACTCACCTGTAGAAATAAAGGTTGAATGAAAAACACACTCACACACATCTTTTTGTAAAACAACACTGAAGGTCTGGCAGGTGACAGAAGTGACAGTAGAACTGGTACAGAGGTGAGTCGTGTTCTGGAGAACCATCTGGAGACGGGTTGAGTTTACTGAGACCAAATTATTTGTGTTTTTCAGAGCTCACTCTTTAGATCCTCACGATGCTCAGGTTTGCATGTACCTGGCTCTGCAGCTGGCCCTGGTCCGGCAGGTATGACTGAGTGTTTTTCTCATCAACAAGAATTATTTTTTAGTAAAACCAGGATTGATTTTGAATTTTAACTCTGAACTGGTTTGTATCTTTCAGGTGTCAGCAGCCATGGAGCCCCTTCAGGCTGCCTTAACCCTGCAGGCTGACGATTTGCATTCTCTCCACCTGCTGACCCTGCTGCTGAGTGCACAGAAGCATCACCACCACGCCCTGGACACACTAAGCCTGGCCCTCAGCCAACATCCTGACAACTTCAAGTAAAACCTGCTGCACCATGACGCTCATGTACCGCACAGAAACCTGTTAGAGAAATATTGTAGAAAGAGGAAAAAGACGATCCATCTGTTTCTGTAAAACTGCTCCAGAAAGTTTCAGCATTAGTTAGTGTGGTGCAAGTCCAAGCCCTGAAGCACATGAACACACCCTGACTCTAACCCCACCCACACATTCAATTCGGTTCAGTTAATTTATGAAGCTCCAAGTCACAACAGAATCGTCTCAGGGACTGAACAGAAACATTCATCTATAAAATAATAATTAACAGAAACATTCATCTATAAAATAATAATTGAACAGAAACATTCATCTATAAAATAATAATT